TTGGGGTTTAAAGCCACAACACCCAATCAAAAGACAACTTAGATTTATTAGAACACCCAAAAAAAAAGAATGAGAAACAATGTTATCGCAAATAGTACTATTTTTTGGTTGACATTTACCAAAAACAACCATATTTCGGAACATCCATAAAAATCATTAGGCAACGAAAGAACACACCTTCCAGAACATCTTTCAAATTCTTCCGCATTCTAATGTTACCAAACCAATCGGACCAATCAATAGTAGACTTGAAGTCATGCTCCTTCAAACCCCTCCACTTCAAGTTTCTATGAATGATCACCTTAACAACATAACAAGAAAAAAAACACATGATTGACTGATTCCACTCCATCATTACAAATCGGGCATATAATCGATTGAATCTCCAAGCCTTTCAAATAAAAATTCTGTCTAGTAGGTAACCTATCCAAAAACCTTTTCCAACAGAAAATATTTATTTTAATACGAACCAAATTCACCCCATCTAATAGTATTACCACCCAAACCCAAAGTAGCCAAGTCCACCAACTTCCGAGCATAAGAAACTGAATAATTATCCAAGGTATCTAAATCCCAAACTCATTTATCAGGATTTGAATTAAGAGAGATCGAGGAGAGAATAGAGGTTACACGTTCCAACTGATCAGACTCCGCCCCACCCAAACAAGGACGACGAAAAGAATCAGCAATCAAATTACTATTGCATTTAACCACAACAGAGACGTCCCTATTACACTCTAGGGAAAAATAAATGCGGGAATCGATCTTGGAGAGGCATTTCTCCCAAACCAACCAAGCAATCTTCCTCTCATCTATCCCTATGCCTCGAAGAAAAAGCATTCTTCAGAGCTTCCAATTTAACAGGAATACCATAATGGACCTTGGACAACTACATATAAAAATTAGGTATAGAACCTAAAACTAATTTAAGAAGAGTGAGACGAATCCCAACTGAAAGAGTATCAATCTTCCATTTAGATAATCTCGACTCAAAATTTTGCACCACAGTATACCACGAATGGAGTTTATTCATAGATCCACCCACCATCGATCTAAGATACATAAAAGGAGTCTTAAAATCCGCACAACCAACTGAAGAAGCTACCATCTCAACTTCTTCAAAAGGAACACCAACTCCCAAAAGACGATATTTTTGAATATTAATCTTTAACCCGGAAGCCAAGAAAAAACACTACAAAATAATGACAATGTTAGAGAAATTCTGGAATTTGGTTTATTGACAAGAGCCGAAAAAAATCCCTCCGCCATATCACGAGAAAAAGAAATATGCAAAGACTCCATCACCGGAATAAAAAGAAAAGGAGAAAGAGGATCTCCCTGTGTTAATCCTTTATAAAACTGGAACTCTTCCGTAGGGCTTCCATTAATTAAAACAAAACTCATAGAAGAATATAAATATCCCCTAATCCAACCCCGCTACCTACTTCCAAAGCCAAACTTTCCAAGAATATCATCTAGAAAATCTCATATGGCTGAATCATACGTCTTATCAAAATCTACTTTAAAAATCATCACCTTCTTTTAATTCGTTTTACACCAAGATAGGACGTCGTTAAGAATTAAAGGACCATCAAGGATTTGGTGGCCATCAGGAAAAGAAAATTGCTACTCGCTAACAAGATCACTAATCACCATACTCAGCTGGTCTGCTAAAATCTTAACAATAATCTCATATTTACATCCTATTAAACTAATAGGACGAAAATCCTTAACAAACTTCGCATCAGAGACACCTTCGAGATTAGAGAAATAAAAGAAGGATTACATCATGTTGGAAACCTAACAAACAGAAAGAATTCCTGCACAACAACAATCGGATAGGATTCAACCAAGCTCCAATATTTTTTTTTAAAACCCAAATGTAAAACCATCTGACCAGGAGGCTTATCTAAATCACAATCCCAAACTGCACGTTTAATTTCCGCAGCTGACACCGTATCCTCCAAAACCGAGAGAGGTGCTCATTAGAAAGCGATTTAGGAAAATAAAAAAGAAGAGGAATCTGAGAGCTAGAGGGAGCCGAAAATCTATCAGCAAAATGAGAACAAAAAATCATTTTTTACAAGTCTTGGGTCTTCAATCCAATTCTCAGTCGAAAATATACCTCTTATAGCCATTTGACTTGTTTTTTATTTATAACACCATGAAAATACCTAGTGTTTTCATCTCTTTCAATCGACCATTGCACCTTTGCCCATTGAGCAAGATCTAACGCCTCCAATTTATTCAAGTCTGGCAATTCTTTAGTGAAAGAAAATCTAGATTGAATCAAATCAGGATTACCCTCTCCATTATCAATTTTTCGATCGACCTCAACTAAAGCTTCTTTAAGATCCAATTTGCTGTTGTTTTTCTTTGAACGAAACTTCTTATGCCACTGCTTCAATTGATTTTTTAAAAACTAAAGCTTCTTTTTCAAACAAATCAAAGCATTATCATCATTCACCCCATCATTCTCCCAGGAAAAACGCACCACATTATCAAAATCATCTAATAAAAACCAAGAGTGAAACAAACGAAAAAGAGTAGGACCGAAGTCCAAGACCATATCTCATAAAAGAATAGGACGATGTATGTCCAACACAAGGCCCATAATATTTGGAAACAACTCCAATAAACCCTCATAAATCAGAAAAAGATCTAATTTACTCATTTTCTCACCCGAAGATAACGACCAAACATAATTATAACCACCAAGAGGGAAGAAGCTGCAATGAAATCGTTAAAAACAAGAACCCCCCCAAAGCATTAAAAGTCGACCCAAAACGTTCCATCTCACTTCTCACCTCATTAAAATCTCCCATAACAAGAACATCAACATCCCATCTATTAATAACTTGTAATATATAATTCCACAAATAGGTTTTTCACCCAAGTCTTGAGGCGCATAAACCGAAATCACCATAACCTTTTTATTAGAGGCTTTCCATAAACCTTCAACAATTATAAAATAATCTGACGTAACAACTTGATCTTTAAGAAAAACAGAAGGGTCCTAAACTACCACGATACCCCCTGAATTCCCGACTACGCATTACAAGCCGAAATAAATGAGTTATTACCCCATAATTTTTGAATAAAAAAATTACTAATATTCTTGTTCGAAAAGATATCAATATTCCCGGTAAAACTCGTTATATCCGGTCATATTGATAATTCTAAAAAATTTTAAACATGTTCAAAAAATATTTGCGACTATATATGTGCAATTGAAAAAATTTGATACCTATTATTCTTATTGAAAATTAATACTTTTTCGTAATTTATACAATAAATAATAATAATAATAATAATAATAATAATAATATGCAATTATTAGAAAATAAAATTGAAATTACTTTGGTTCATTAATAATGAAACCACTAGATGGGCATGCTTTAATAAGTGGGAATTAAGTAAAGCCACTTTAGATTGAAGATTCTTGCAAAGCCTAATCACCACTTGTTAATCCTATATCGCCTAATATGCTTTGGCTTTTCTGGTTTATGGTAGTTGTTTTCGCCGCACCAATCATAATCAGATTTTAACATCAAACATGAAAATTAAGAATGGATAAATATTTATTGCAAAATTTGTTTTGTAAGATAAATTGCATGCAGAAAAACATAGTTTTACTCGATGTTCTAAAAGTTGGTCCGAACCGACCGATCAAATCAGTTGGATAAGGGATCGGAGAGAATAACGGTTCAATTAGGACTGCTTTTATGTCAATTTTTAGACCGGATGGTTTCTTCAAAAACCTAGTAAAACTGGTGTGATAGAACCAATTTATTAGACTTGAATAGTTGGATTTCACTCAACTCGTTAAAAAAAACTCATTTTCAAAACAAATTGAACAAATTGTCTGGAATGTAAACAACTCAAAGGTCGACGACGCACACCACTATCGGACACGACTGCGATACCGGACACGACTGCGACACACACCAGACTAGACTAGTCTGACACCGATCTTCTCAACTTGTAGGCCGATATTGCTCAACTGTTGTGTCTATGGCTTTATAATATAGTTCATTATGATAAAAAATTATGTTTGTGGATGTTAAATTATTGGTTATATATATATATATATATATATATATATATATATATATATATATATATATATATATATATATATATATATATATATATATATATATAGGGTTAGGTTATTATATTTAAAGTAATTATTGTGTTATTGTATTCATAAATGTGGGTCAATCATTTTACTTATTTTAAAAAAATGATTAATACATATTATTGAATAAAATATATTTGAAAAATACCATCTAATTTAACTAGAAGGGTATTTTAGTCATTTAATATATATTTAATAAAGGAAATTTGCATATTTTAAGGAAACATAGATTCTATTAATTTTAAAAATCCGATTTTACGAATTATAAGGTTTTAATTCAGACATTCTGACAGAATATTTTTTTAGTATGTTCAAAAATAAAAATATTCTAGAACCATAAAATAATAAAAATATTCTTGAACATATTTATTGATCATGACTTTAAAAATTTCTTGTAGAATAACAAATTCTCGAACCAGAAATTGAAGAATTAAAACAAAAATTACATTAATTCTTATAGAATACATGTAACAATTGCTAAGAATTACATTTATTGTTAAAGAATAAAACTAAAAAACTTTCAAAACAGTAAAAAAAAACATCAAAATCTAACAAATACACTAATTCATTCTAAAAGAATAATGTTGCTAAGAAACACTTCCATTCCAACAAGATTAGAATTCGTGTTTCCATTCCGATAGAATTTGAATTCGTGATTCCATTCCGATAGAATTGGAATGGTATAAAATACACAAACCGATTTAATGCTTCTAGAACATCAGAAGGGGCGAGATTAAGTTCATCAAGAACTATCCAATGACCATTTCTAGTCTGTTTCTTGAACATTGTATGGGATGAAAATGAACAATGACCACCATCCTTTATACCTGGGTACCTCTCTCTCAGATAACTCTTAAACTCATTCATCTGCCTTCTCCTCGAATTTTTCAGGCACATCCAAAACATTGAGTGAATAGAATATTCTACAACAGAGCCTTCGTGCTTCAAGTAACTGCCGGATGGTTGCAACAGACCCAGCAGCAGCAGCAATATTTATCTTCCTTGAAATACTCTGAATAGTACTCAGCAACAGTGTGGCAAAGTTATCGGAGCAGTATATCAAGTCAAGCATTATGTTATTCCTCTTAGGCTGGTACCGAAATTTCTTGAACAAAGAATTAAACCCACAACAGAATCTCTTAAACAAAGAACAAACAATAGCAAGGATATTGTTAACAGAAGTAAAATCATTTGAACTGATAGCCATTTCAAGACTGGACTCAAATTCAGGAAGCAAAACCTGCCAAAACTCAGGAAAATCATGGTCTCCAATCACAGCTATGGCTTCGCTAAGCTCATCCTGGATTTTCCGGGTGGCGGAGAGCATAACAGGCACTATTAGAGTCCTAATTTTCTCTTTTTCACCATCGGAAATATGGATGTCAGATGAGGACATCCACCGGGTTTTAAGATGGTTCGTAAAGTTAACAACAACGTATTGGCGGGTCTGCTCGTCAATGGAAGGTTCAACAACCAGGCTAAGAACGGCAATGTTGTAGTTAGGAGTATCGGCGGAGTAGGATAACTTTTCCTCAGCATGGCGGCGAATTTCGGGTTGAGGGAAGAGTGTATAGAGGAAAGATTGTGACATAACCTGTGGTGTTTGTGGATTCCAATCCATCTAGGGTTTTTACAAGATTGAAGTGCCTGAAAATCAGAAGTACATGATAAAGATCTACTGAGATTTCAAACAGTGATAGTTAATAGGGATCGAAATCTGGAAAGAAACCAAAAATAAATAAATAAATAAGAAACACCGCACCTGCCTTGGAAGAAAAGTTCAATTTGAAGCGCTGAAGATGGCGAAGAATGAAGAAATTAAAAGAGGGGCGAAGGCATTTTTAGGTTTTATCGATCAAAAGAGATAGGGTAAATTTGTAGACACCTCCAAACTTTTATATAATGATGGTGGTGGTCAGTAGCCGGTGATTGGATTATCGGCGTGAAGGGGTCTTCAACAGGAGACGACCTCCTCGCAAATTGATGACGGTTGTATATAAGAAAAGAAATTAGGTTAAAATTGAATGCTAGCATGATTATAGGACTATTTGTGGAAGTTATTTATCAAATTACTAAAATACCCTTGTTTATTTATTTAATTATTTAAATTTCTATTTAATTTTGATTATCCCACAATTATGCATACAATAACACAATAAATACTTTAAACACCTGAAGCTATCTCTCTCTCTCTCTCTCTCTCTCTCTCTCTCTATATATATATATATATATATATATATATATATATATAATATATATATATATATATATGAAAAAAAATTCATTAAATTTATGGAAAACGAATTGAATTGATCACTAGACCGATTCAACTAAAAATCCAGTTTTTTAAAACATTGATTAAAACCAATATTTTAAAAGTCACTCTTTTTAGTTGAAGATAAGAAAAATATGAAGGAAAAAGAATACAGGTAGTAGTAATCATAACCCAATAACCACCCTAATTAATAATCGGGATTTAATCCATAAACGAATGTCAAAGTCACAGTCTACTTCCAAGCCACAACCTACTAACACATGGTTGGAGGAGGGGAAGTTGATCAATGCATGTAAGAGTGATGGTACGCGTATTTCCTTAATATTTTTTTGAACAACGAGATTTTATTAAAAAACTAGCAAGAAGCTAGCAAAGTACCATTACGAATTAGAGCAAGCTAAGGAAGGGTTTTGTAACCAACCTATAAGAAAATTTAGTTTTTTTTACACTTATTATAAACCCAAAAAAGATCTATCAACAACATCAACAAATAAAATAGATTTCCTCAGATTGCACTCTCCAAAAACAAAGGAATTTCTATAATTCCAAATAACCCAAAAGACGTAATCACAACAACATCAAATGCCATTTGTTGGTCTTTAACCAACCGAACCGAATCCGCCCAACAAATAAGAGAATCCAGAGTAATAGGATGATGCAAATGAACTCTCCACCAAATTGCAATGCAATGCCATAAAACCACCAACTCAAAGTAGAAAACGAAAATAAGATCAATAGTTTCTATGGAAATCGAACAAATTGGGCACTTAATCAAATCTACCAAGATACCCCTGGAAGCCGCTCCTGTATAAGAATACTCAACAGTCTAACCCACCAAAGGAGAATATCCAGCTTAATAGGATTCCAAGAATTCCATCTAGTCTCAAAACCCCCACTAGGAAGCAAACCATAATCCAAAAAAACAACACGAGCAAACACAAGTGCAAAATAATTAGCTACATCTAACATACAACCTTATCTATCAGGTTGATCATCCATGTATGTCCTAATGAATCAAATTGAGAAAAGCATCTCACAGGGACAGCTCCACCCCACCCCATGGTTGCCTCCTAAAGTGACAATGGACCACCCCCATCGAAAACTGATCTACAACCAAAATCCCCTTATGTAAATCTAAAGCCAAATTCTATGGAAAACAATCGAAAAGGGAGATCTCTGATCCAACATTCATGCCAGAAATCAATCCTAGACCTATCACCAAGAGGAGGGGGAATACATCTAAAGGTCCAGATCTCGATCTCTCATCTATTGTAACATCCTAATAATACCACTCCAAGGGCTTGAGCAGGATGTACCTGATGTAAAGAAGAGCAACCCCCATCCACACCATAAATATTCTTCATAACCTTAACCTATAAAGCCATAGAACTATGAAAAAACCTCCACCTCCACTAAAATAGTAAACCCCTGATAAAAGAAAACAAGCTACCAGTCCCTAAGCCACCTTTATTTTTGCTCGCTAGAACATTGTCTCGTCCCACCCAATGCATATGTCCCTCTCCTAAATCAACATCCCACAAGAAACTTGCCCTAAGAGACTCCATAGATCCCAACACTGTAAATGGAACCGAGAACATAGATATGAAATACATCCCCACTGACCTAAGGACCGACTTCAACAAAGTAAGTCGGCCACCAATAGAAGGATACTTTACTTTCCAGATCGAAGTCTATGAATAAAACAATCGATATAGCCAGAACACGGAGAAACATGCAAAATACTCTGACCAATCGAGACTCCCAAATACATAACCGGTAAAGCTGAAACCTCACACCTAACAACCATAGCCATATCATGGACTTGATTATGAGGAACACCAACCCTAATCACTTACTTTTTAGTTAATTGATTTGTAAACCAGAAGCCAGAAAGAAACATATAAGGATTCTAACCATCCTTCAAGCATTCTCAACTTACTAAGGGCACATCTAGACAACATCATCTGCATAGAAGAAATGACAAATATCCTCCTCTATCCACCTAATCTTAACGCCACCAAAAGTACCCTCCATCTGAGGCCGCATCAAATCCACATGGAGACCCTTTATAGCCAAATGAAAAGAAATGGAGATAAAAGATCAACATGTCTTAATCCTTCCCTGCCTGCAAAATCCAGCGTAGGCAAACCATTAACATGAACATAAGCCTTAGCCAAAGAAAGAAGCACCATAATCCACCCATACCAAACCATCCGAAATCCCATAATCTATATACTTTCAAGGAGATAATCTCAAGAAAATGAGTCATAAGCTTTCTCAAAATCAACCTTTAAAATCATAAGTCGTTGATGATTAGCCTTACACCAAGATATCACTGATGGGTTTTGAGCATTCTAACACTCCTATGGTGTACATGCAACCCTAAATACCTTGGATCTATGTTTTCTCTAATATACATGCAAACTTTCATTTTTCCAAGGTATCATCCTAACTAGCATACAATGGAGTAACTATACTACAAAATTCAAGTTAGATGACATACCTTTTAGTGTAGTTGGAAACCTTGAAGCTTTAAGAGCCTAGCACCAATAATGTGAATGCCTCAAGTGGAATCACAAATCACCACCAACAAATGGATGAACTTGAGAGAAGATAATATACACTCAAAATCGGCTAGCACCCTCACAAGAACTCTAGGTGCCGATTTCATGAACCATAGGGCTTCTTATATAATGTGGTTACATTAGGGTTACACCATGAAAACCCTAATGTGCATGTCTTTCCACATTCCTCATGCTCCATGGGTTTTAACCTTCATGGAGTATCCATGGGTCACCAAATGGGTTTAGCCCAACATAAGGAATCATGGATCATTAGCCCACTTTATAAGAATGAATGATTTACACAATCAATCCCTATATATTTAATTAGTCTCTTTTGATCACATAATTAATTCCAAATTAATTCTTGATCAATACTAATTAAATAATATGATTTCATATTAATATATTAGAACTTATAATATATTAATAAATCATAATTATCCTCTTCTCAAAAGTCCATCCTTCAAATTGTCCCGGTGAAGTGCAACCCAAATGGACCATGCTATTCCCGGGTCAAGTACATACCAAATATAGTTATGGACTTAGACACCTTATCCAACAGTCTCCCACTTGAATAAGTCTAGTAACTATAGTTGCAAGTATGACTTCAGGATCCGACTAGCAATCGTGGCTCTTAAATGCCTTTGTCGAACTTAGACGTACCATTTTAGACAAGTGATCATAGAATCCTCTGTTCTCAAGATATCATCCGGACAAACACATGGAACACAGTCAACCTTATTGTCCAGCAGTTTGTTTCCTGATTTCTGATTTGTTTGACATAGAACTTAATCGAACACATCAATTTAGTTCTGACCGGGCCCGACACATAGGTAAAAACAAAATCATCGAGGGTCCCAAGATATCGCTTTTAATCCTCCAAGGACTAAAAGGAACAGATAAACTTTGACAGTATATGCTTGTACTAACTATTCACTGAGCCATACACAACAACACGTTTTATAACATCGAGTTATCGATGCGTTTTCGTATTATCAATGTACAACCAACTCATAGTCAACAACTCATATATCTAGGTTTGAAGATTATATGATATTATCGTCTCACGATCACTCGAGATAAATTCCATGAAGTGATGCAAGTGAGCGTGGGTTGAATCTAATACTCAGACCTTATGAGCACTCATGAATGTCATAGCAATGTCTAACCATTTCTGACAATCTACAAGCCAAATTCATGACAGTCTTGATTCAATACCTATTTCCAAAGTATGACTGACTGTGGATGGTTTGAATAATCCAATTATTCTTGAAGTTAAAACATGCAAAATGAAACAATAGTAAAACAATTGACATGAGACAATACCATACTAGTAAATAAAAAACACCTTTTATTTAAGCCTTAAATGTCAATTACAGTTTATCATTTACAAGTTTCGAAATAGCTATCTAATCATTAAAACTAATATCATCCCTCAGCCCAATGCGCCTCGCATGCTGTAAATGCTTAACCCCACTCAGTCCCTTCGTGAGGGGATCTGTCGGGTTCTCATCTGATGATACCCTCTTTGCCACGAGGAGTCCTTCTTCTATCTTGTGTCTTATGAAGTGATATTTCTTGTCGGTGTGTCTAGACCTTCCATGATCCTTTGGTTCCTTGGCTAAGGCAACCGCACTATCGCTGTCACAGAAAATCTCCACATGCTCCTTTATAGCTGGTACAACTCCAAGGTCTTCGATGAAGTTCTTCAGCCATATCGCCTCCTTCGTCGCTTTGCTTGCTGCTATGTACTCTGATTCGCACGTTGAATCAGCTATAGTC